GACCTAGGCTGCCTTGCGCCAGGTGCGAGTACGGACCGGGGACTGCGGCGGGGACCTGACAGCAGGCAGGGACTGCTTCAGGTCCTGAGTCGATGCCTGTCTATGGAATAAAGCCCCGTCGGGTCTATCACTCCACACCGCAGGTTGAGGCTGTTTGCGCTTTGCTTTGCCTCAGTTCTGGGAAATTAAAATTGAACTTGGCTTTGTTAAGTGGTTAGTCCCCAGCTAGAAGCGTGGAAGCAGAGTGGCAGACGCTAGCCCTCAAATGATGCAAGCCTGGAGGACCCTGTAAAAGTTTTCGGCCAAATGAGGAAATAAATTAATTCCGGGAGAGTGTGTATATGTGTGCGTTTTGTTTTTCTGAGGTGGGGACGGCGACTTTCTCAAAGGATGTAGGGAGCTGTGTTTCATTACCAGCAAGTCACAGTTCTTTTAAAGACTGTCCAGGCTGGGCTCCGTGACTCACGCCTGTAATCCCAGCACTTTAGGAGGCCGAGATAGGAGGATTGCTTGAGGCCAGGAGTTCCAGACCAGCCTGGGCAACATAGCAAGACCCCCATCTCTTACCCGTCCCCCCACCAAAGAAAAATCGAAAAATGAGCCAGGCGTGGTGACACGCACCTGTAGTTCTGGCTACTCAGGAGGCTGAGGCCAGAGGATCGCTTGAGCCCGAGTGGTTGAGGCTGCAGGAGAGCTGTAATTGTGCCACTGCACTACAGCCTGGGCCACAGAGACCACATCTCAGAAAAAGAAAAAAAAAAAACTTGTCAGTTCAAATGCCTGGGAACTGACTGGATTTAATTTTCAGGGAGCTGTGTGTCTACAGATGTGCACACTTTTATTTCTTATAAGCCTTGGTGTATTACAAATTACCACCAGGAAAGAAATCTAGAGACTGAGTTTTCATAGAAATTACCTGGTGCTGCTTCAGATATAACGTGACTAACTGAATATCAAAACTGCCTTTCTGGCTGGTGGGCAGTATTTGCACATGACGAGATAATTCCTGTTTTTCTTACTATTTTAAATAATAGAGACGAGGTCTCACTGTGTTGCCCAGGCTGGTCTTGAACTCCTGAGCTCAAGTGATCCTCCCGCCTCAGCCTCTCAAAGTGCTAGGATTACAATTCCTGTTTTTCTGAAACGTTTTTGTTTTGTTTTGTCATTAGCATGTGTGACACAAGAGGTCGACATTGAACTTAGCGTTTTCAGTAGCTAAGATGAAATGTTTATATTAATGTGCTTCTGTTTCTTCATGTTTCAGGAGGAAAATAAGATTTTATTTTATCATCCAAATGAGGTAGAAAAGAATGAAAAGATTAGAAATGTCGGATTGTGTGAAGCTATTGTACAGTTCACAAGGTAATACCTTTAAGTTTGCCTTTTAGAGTTCAGTGAATTCTTAAAACTTCTGCTGGAGAATTGTCTCAAACATATTTTTTTAACCTTTTAGGACCTTTAGCCCATCAAAACCTGCAAAATCTTTACATACCCAGAAGAATAGACAGTTCTTCAATGAACCAGAAGAACATTTCTGGATGGTCATGGTATTTACATACACAGTGTATCTTTCTGAAATTGTATGGTGAAGTTATGGGTGATCTTTACTATTCAGAGTTTGGGAAAGTTCTCTGGCTGTTGCATCCAAGTAACATTAAAATAAAATTAGTTGGAATTTTAAAGTCAAGTTCTTCCTATTTGCTTTATTTGTTCTTGGGGCTGTTTTAAGAAGTTGTGTTTCTGGTGCTATAGCATGTTCAAAGTTTTTAAGTTAAGGCAAAATAAAAACCATGGTATAATGAATTCATTGTATAATTTCAGTTTATCAAACTTTGCAGGTTGTTCGGAATCCTATAATTGAAAAACAGAGTAAAGATGGGAAACCAGTTATTGAATATCAAGAAGAGGAGTTGTTGGTAATGTGTCATTATTTATTTATTTATCTTAGATGTATTACTGAGTATGTTGAATCCCTCAATTGGTCGGATTTAAACTCGGTGGCTTTTGCGGAAGTTTCTCGGGGTATATAGCAAAGGTTTATGTTTATCGTTTACATGAGCACGGTCTTTTTAAAATGTATATGCACCCTATCTCACTAATACCTTCTACTCTTCATCTACATTGAAAGCCCTCCTAAAGTAAGGCTTACTGAGTCACAAATTAGAATTTAAACACTTCTGCCTGGGAACAGTGGCTCACACCTATAATCCTAGTACTTTGGGAGGCCGAGGCGGGTAGATCACTTGAGGTCAGGGGTTCAAGACCAGCCTGGCCAACATGGCGGAACCCTGTCTTTACTAAAACTATAAAAATTGGCCAGGAATGGTGGCGCACACCTGTCATCCCAGCTACTCAGGAGGCTGAGGCAGGAGAATCGCTTGAACCAGGGAAGCAAAGGTTACAGTGAGCCAAGATTATACCACTGCGCTCCAGCCTAGACAACAGAGTGAGCCTCCATCTCAAAAAAAAAAAAAGTAAACACTTTTTTTCAGCACACAACTATTGTGGGACCAAGTTTATAAACATTATACCGTTACGTCAAGAGTCAGTGTAGCTTTGCCATCTATCCAGTAGACATTGTGTTCCCTTGAATTGAGATCTGTGCTGTTTTTGTGTTTGCAGGACAAGGTTTATAGTTCAGTGCTACAGCAGTGCTACAGCATGTACAAGGTAAGCCTGGCATTCGTTTCTGAGAGTCCAACCAGTTACCCCTATTTATAGGCTCCAGGGTTGTTTAAAGAGAAATCTTTGAATGACTGCAAAGTGACTGTGTATTTATCTTAGAGAAGAAAATAATGAGGCCTTGGAAACAGGTAGTGAGGTTTATGCCCAAATTTATTCAGCGAGTATTGAACTCCCTTCCCTCTCTCAGCCTCATAGTGGGAATGTGTCCCCCACTGATGAAAAAGTGTGTCTCTGTCCTCAAGGAACGTACAGAATGCAGATAATTTCATGATTTAAACATTTCAGTGAGGCAGGGCATAGTGTATCACACCTGTAATTTCAGCATTCTGGGAGGCTGAGGCGGGAGGATTGCTTGAGCCCAGGAGTTCAGGACCAGTCTGGGCAATATAGCAAGACCCCATCTCTACAAAAAATTTTTGTACAAGTTAGTCAGGTGTCATGGTGCATGCCTGTAGTCCCAGCTACTTGGGAGGCTGAGGTGGGAGGATCGCTTGAGCCTGGGAGGTCGAGGCTGCAGTGAACTGTGATTGCGCCACCACACTCCAGCCTGAGTGACAGAACGAGATTCCATCTCAAAAAAAAAAAAAAAAAAGGATAAAAATGGTGATTCCATTCATTGAAAGAAAACTGAAAAATAAAAAATAAAAATTTGGGTGATATTACTTATGTAAATTGAAACTTCAGGGTAAGTTGAAATTTTTGAAAGATGCCTAGAGCAATTAGGTGGTTTCATAAATAAGACAGCATCACTTAACAGTATTTTTTGTAACTTACATTTTTAACTCAACTTTTCTCATTTAAATATTTTCTCTATTGAAAAGAACTGGGAGATTTAATGAGCTGAATTAATCATCTAAAGGAAAGGCCGGACGCGGTGGCTCACGCCTGTAATCCCAGCACTTTGGGAGGCCGAGATGGGGGGATCATGAGGTCAGAAGATCGAGACCATCCTGGCTAACACGGTGAAACCCCATCTCTACTAAAACTGCAAAAACAAAATTAGCCGGGCATGGTGGCAGGCATCTGTAGTCCCAGCTACTCAGGAGGCTGAGGAGGGAGAATGGCGTGAACCCAGGAGACGGAGCTTGCGGTGAGCTGAGATCATGCCACTGCACTCCAGCCTGGGTGACAGAGTGAGACTGTGTCTCAAAAAATAATAATAATAATCTAAAGGAAAAAAAGAACTTCTTCTAGTTCTGCTGAAAAAGTGAGCGTATGAAATTGATTGTTTTTTTCCTGTGGTCTTTTACCTCATTAGCTTTTTAATGGAACATTTCTGAAAGCCATGGAAGATGGAGGCGTTGAGCTTCTGAAAGAAAGATTAGAGAAATTCTTCCATCGGGTAAGTACTTTGAATTTCGTTTATAACTTTAGTGAGCATTCAGCAGATTTTTAGAGAAATATGGACAGACAAGTTTGTTTCTTATGTACAAAAAACCCAGAACTTGAAAGTGGCAAAGAGCCTGAGACGGACAGTCGTAAAACTGGAGCAGCGAGGAGGCGCGTGAGGCGTGTGCTCTGGACCCTCCCTCCAGCTGTAAGGCAGAGCTTCCTGCGTTCGCCCGGGGCTCTTAAAGAGTCCTGGAGTCATCGTTTGGCCTCCTTGTGTTTTACCTGCGTCTGTCCTGGGCTTACTCAACAGCCGTCTTTTGTGTGATGGATCAGTTGAT